AACAGATAAAACGTCTGAATAAATCACAAAGGCGACCTTGTCGATGAACGCTGTGCTCATCCACTGTCTCACTGTTGTAAAAGAATGCAGCGTAACAGTAGAATGGGTTGGTTTCCCACAAGAACGGGGCGATAAAACTGACACTTCCAGACGCAGAGTGTCTTCGGAAGACTGCCGCCGCATTCTTTAAGTTCAACCTCTGTTCTGCTTGGCATAGTTAGCTAGAAAGTCGATAAGGAAAATTTCGCATGATCCGTACGTGAACGCTACAGGTACCAACGCGGTCGATGATCAGTAGTCGGACGTCCTCGAAACGAAAAGTAGTGTTAACCAACGACATCCAGTGTGCCTGCTTTAGTTCTTTTCATGGTAGGCTCTACCATCAAGCAAAATCCCGCTGAAAAAGCATCAGCAATATGCCGGTACGCAGTACCGACACTTTGCTGCCGCGCAGCGACCGCCGGTCGCACGTGGGCTAAAGATACTGCGAGAATCGCCCTGCATATACACAATCGAGAACACGCGCCGTCAGATTGCAAGACAAGATTGTTACGTTTAGGATACGGGCTAGCAAAAAGGTTTCATTGAGGATCTGCTTGGAGGAAATCCAACTAAATCGTATTAGGTATGAATCCTTCAACAACCGTAAAACGGCACAGTTAAAACACTGGACAAATTGCTTGGAGTAGTATTAACTTTTGAGATGTTCTTTGTACCTTCAAAATGATCTGTAACGTAAGCTAACTGAGTAAAGACGATAAACTGATCAAATAAACTACCTCGGCAGTTGATTGTCGAGTTCTGGAGTGCATGCCGTGTATCGTGGATCACGACACGCAATCGCAATGGTGACTGACGTCGAGGTCAACAGTTGTCACAATTGAGATTGTATGCAACATTCAAAGACACATGGTGAGTACTCCAAAACACGACAATCAACTTCTAATCGATGTGCCAAGCACTGCTCGCGGAGCTGAATACCCTAGTGATCACAGTGATAGCCGCTAACCACTGTGTACCTAGTTCCACTTCCAACGCAGGCTGTCACTACCTGATGAGTCCAAAGAAGGACGAAACCATCAGTCATGGAGTGTAGGAATAGGAGAGAGCAACATCGAAACCCTTTATCAAGGCAGTTGCATTAACAGTGGCCAGCTTGCAATTGTGAAATCACCACACGTATGACTATGGCCACAAATTCAGTTAGGAGTCCTCTACATCATCGGCGTCGAAAGAGAGTTCTTCGGATCTTAGATGGGCATATAAAGGGGTGCAATTAGTGTCGTATTAACCAGGGCACACAGGCCTAGCCCTGTGGGTTTGAATATTCCAGGTGCTTTCATGTCTTATATTTTCCTGGCTACGAAGGGACGCTCGTGTATGGTGGCACCGGATATGACGGTCAGATCAGACCGTTACATAGACAAATAAGGGTAAACAAGATCCCTTGCTTGGAGTATGCGCCCAGCGCAAATCCACGCTTCTCAAGAATGTACGAATGTTTCAGTTAAAATGTTTCGGAGTACGGGTAGCCTGGGTTGAGGAGCCAGCTGTTCATTTGTTCCCCGAGCTTGGGAGTTTGGTTGTAAACGTTCCGCCACCACGCGAGATTGAGCACTGTATATCACTGCAGTGACGATGCCATCTCGCATGGTGACGAAACGTTTGCAAGCAAAGGGCGAACAAATGAACAACTTAAGGGTCCGTTGGAAAACTCAAGATGGTAGTGAGAAATGTAATAACCGACAACCAGACTGGTGTTGGTAGCCTACCCATCTCTCGTGTTGCGCACGGCTCGAGTTATATGGCTCCCAACCGGCGTCTGCTGCTGATTCTTAGAGGAGTAATCGCCTAAAGTGTACACAACTCTAAACTGCGAAGGCGGATAATGTCGATTATGGCAAAGAGAAGGCATCCAGTGATCTAACTCGTCGATGACGCCTCATCAGCAGACAGCAACCCGTCAGTTGTGACCGTATGACGTTCGCAAGACACAGGCGCCTTCATCATGAATATTCGATTGATCTACTTCAGTACCACAATGGATCTCCGCTCGTCCAGCCAGTTATCTTGCGTTGACAGGATCACCTTTCGTGATTCATGGCCATTCGATATCAGAAGGAAGGGACAAAAGTACCAAAATATTGATGTCATTAATCGTTAATAAATTATTATTACTTTTATTATAATTATTATTGTTGTTGTTATTATTATTATCAGATAGTAGTGGCGAACGGCCGAGTATCTCTAGAAGCACAGATAACCGTACTTCGAACATTCCTTCACCACAGAGAGAGAACGCGTGCCATGAATTGCTTGGACGCCCTTTTATGGATCCGATTCTCGTTGAACGCATCCAAATGAGACGTTCGCTTAATATCATGCTCACGCGTCGGACCGGTTACGCTTGTGCAAAACCTATCCTATGTATAGACGATGTCGCAATGAGAGTCGAATGTGATCCCCAACCGCACGCAGAATCGGAGAGAGGAGAAAGACCTCTCACAAGATCGAAGAAAGGTGACAAAGGTAAAGACACTCTAAGTTATAGCGCAAATGGTTTACTACGCCAGGCGTGAGTTTGGTGGGACGAATTCATTCATGAAACCTTGCTGCGTCGCGTGATCCCACTGCGAGTGACACGCGGCGTAGCTCTTTGCATGAACAAGCGAGTATTGGAGTCTGTGCTGCGGGTGCGTATATTTGCGAAATCCTTTGACTTTCGTGCAATATGTCTGTTTCTGTATTACGCTGCACAGTCAGGATCCAGTTAAACTTTGACGAACTGCTAGTGCACCCATGGTCCCGATGGGATAAAGATTGATGAGCACTTGTGGTTAACTGTCTATGAAACGCCTCCCCCCCACAGAAATACCATGATAAATCGAGGTAAATTGAGCGAAAACATCCCAAAGTGAGATGACATGAGTGAAGATGCTTACTTGTTAGCAAAGCGCAACCAGAACACGTTGTATGCGTAGAGGGTGAGGGGTTGAACGGATTTCAGGAGAACCACGTAACGGATGTCGAACTTGACGTTGGCCCGTAAATCTGCCCGATAGAAGAGCACGGGATCAGTGATGTAACGGCTGGCAATCTGGGGAACGGAAGAGGACAAAAATGTGCACATCATTCATTCATTATCCGTACAAAAAAGATCAAAGTAAGAAAAAAAACGGAGAAGATTGCTACTCAACAGCATCAAACGGTACAGTCTCACACAGTGGATTGAGTAGAACAATGAACATTACAACAAAACGCTCAATTCGCAGCATGAGTACTAACAAGGCAAGGAGGATGGGATGAAATGCGCTAAGCGGCGTAGTTCGAAAATGAGCTACCGCATCAGTGAAAATGGCGTACAAAGCAGCGCCTACGAGATGAATACGTTAGTAGTGAATCTAGAGAACAACAACGGAGCAATGAATGATCCACTGAGTACACAAATTCAACTCCAGCTGTGGAGACAGCCATGTTTGGCGAAGTGATGCAAAGCTAAGCGCCAGAATAGTGTCACAAATGGTTGTGCGAATAAACGGAATTCATGATGGATGAGCCGAGGGATCAGACCGCTTCAGGAATTTCAAGACGGTAAATGAGTACAGAGCAAAGGGTCAATCTAATCGATCTTAAAAGCTCCGAATTTTTAACCTACTGAGCTGATACTGCGGATCGAGGGTTGCTGCCATAGTAGTGAGAAACGCACCGCCTGATTACCAATCGATCCCATTTGACCTTGTGTATGAAACATCGTTGCTTGTAAATTCGTGGATAAGGAGCATGCACAAAGTGACTGAGACATCCCAGAGCTTACATGCTTATGAACAAATGAGTTTTGCATAAACCCCCTCATTGCTCAACTTCGACTTATGGGGAACATCGGGAAAGTGTTATCAGCCTGCCATCAAACATACGAGATATAAATGCACAGAAGCTTATGAGCGACGTAAATTGCTGTAGCAGCCTTCGGAGACACGAGCCCAAGACTTTTCTTCTGTGAAGCAAGAATGTAGATCGATAGGACAAAGAGGATAACTTGGTGGCTATTTCGCGTGCTCGATGGTAAAGCCGATTCGGGAAGACGGCGACAGCATAGTGGAAAACTACAGGCCAATATGTCTGACACCTATTTGAACCAAGGTTGCTGATAAGATCGTGAGGAAGGGTCTACTACAATTGCTCAAATCAAAAGATCTACTGACATCCGAACAGCATGGCTTTATGCTAGGCAATTCACGCATTACCAAAGTGCTCGTGACGAGGCATGAATGGCTGCAGGCATTTAACCAGAGGAGGTAAGTCAAGGTGATTTATGTTGACTTCAGTAAAGTGCATGACAAAGTAAGCCATGAGGTCCCCCTCCACAAGCTGAGTGCGAGATGTTGGTGAATCACCAGGACGACTGCGCTCGCCTCCAGCATGACTTAGAGCGACTGTCAACGTGGTCCACTGAAATGCAACTCCCTCTTAACGCAAGCAAGTCGGAGTTTATCAGTATCACCAGACGTGCAGCCACTCGATCATACACCTTGGACGGCCAGTTGCTCCATCCCAACACATCTGTCAGAGACTTAGGAGTTCTCTCACGACATGATTTAAGATCACTAGAAAATACAGAGAAATTGTACCGTGCGGGACTTCGTATGCTCTGGGCATTAAGACGCAGTTTCTCCACATGGTCCGAAGAAACCGTCCCTCGTCTATTCACCTCGCTCATTAGACCAGTCCTTGAATACGGTGCCCCAGCTTACCATCCGATAACCCAATGGGAAACTGAAAAGCTGGAGAAAATACAGCATATCGCAACTAGAATGATACCAAGTCTACGAAAGCTTCCGTATGAAAAACGTTGTGAAAGGCTCGGACTCTACACACTATCCTATCGCCGATTAAAAGTTGATCTTATTATGACCCATCGAGTACTACACTTGAATCACTTCCCCATACTGCGGCCAATATTTCACCTGCGAGAACCCTGTAACACCCAAGGACATCGTTACAAACTCAGGGTCCCCAGCATGAACAAAGTATCACATCAGCTTTGTATCGAACGAAGAATCGTAAACTTATGGAATACACTACCTGAAGGATTAGTAGAGGCCGATTCTGTGAAGTGTTTTAAAACCCGTATCGACGATTATTTTGGAAACCTGTGCTTTTGTGAAACGATGCACATACAGTGCCAAAAGAGGACATTGTATGCCCGGAAATAATGACGCTAGTACAAATTTCTAACCGAACACGGATAAACGATTAACGGATCAGACACAACTGCTGATAATTCACAAGTAAATTTTGATTTTTCTTAATTCGATAGAGTTGTACAGAAACATTTCTACTTGCTCTTAAATACAGTCTGAGTCTCAATCTCACTTCAATAGTGGATCCGAGAGTTTTCCGTTGGACGGAAGCGGAATGTACAGGTCGACGACCGGCTGATAGATTAAATAATAAAATAATAATTATCAACAGTCCAATAAATGGACATGGAGCTCTCAAGAATACTACGAGGACTAAAGAAACCAACAATTTGACAACAAATAAAAGGAAACATATTTTGTGTTTCGCACGCCAAGTCGCGTTCGTTGTCACTTTCGAGGTATTAAGAAAATGAAACAATACATATCTATACACGATTCTTCCATTGATTCCGGTTGCGAGTTGTGCTTTCAAATGAGTTAAGCAATTGACACTACTAATCCTTGGGGCACCATCCCGGAAGACGTACAGGTATCCATGTACTAGTAGAACATTCCAAAGCACGGTGTTGGGGCCTGCTCTGTTCCTAAGCTAAATTAAGGATTTACCTCAGCTTCTTCGGTCACCGCGTGCGCTGTTTGCAGACGACCTGAAAACAGACGATCGGAGTCTACTTCAGCAAAACAAACACCTCACTAGGTGGTCCGCAAAAGTCTACGCCTCGGTCATCCAATGAAGTCAGTATTCATGGGCCTGGAAAAGAGTGGTGACGGCTAAACCTTAACGGACAATCGCTACATTTTGCCCCTTCCTCCAGCAGGCCTGTAGCCTGCCATGTAATGCGAAGGCATAGGTTCAAGCCTGCTTAAGGACAAAGCGACCCTCTCAGTACCCTTAGCCCACGTGCGATTGGTGGTGGTTGCGCGGCAGCGAAGCGTCGATACTGCGTACTGCTGATGCCTATAACACACCTTCGTCGAAGGACCTATGCGTACTCTCATGATGCGACTTGAGGTCCATACACAACAGGAACAAGCTACCCCGAAACGGGCTGCGCATGCTCTGGACGCTCAGACGCAGCTTCTGTGCTCGGTATGAAGTCGCCACCAGTCACCTCTATCATAAGACTAATGCTAGAGTACGGCCCTCACCCCTACTGTGAAACGCCCCAAGGCATGGAAGATCGAATGGGTCCAACACGTCGCTACCAGGTTCATTCCTAACTTACGGGGATTAAGGTATAAAGACTGCTGCAAGGAACTAGGAATATACAACTTGTCATATCGTCGGCTACGAGTCGATCGCGGCCTAACGCATATTATGCCTCAGTGACTTCCTCATGTTGAGACTGCTGCTCCAATTGCGAAGGCTATGCAGCACAAGTGGACGCCGGTACACGCTTGTGATGTCAGGTACGAAGCGAGTTCCTTACACCTGTGTTTCGAAAGGAGAACACTGAATACTGTGAATAGAGAGCGAGAAGATAAAACTCTGTGTTGCTCCATCGTAGGTGGATCGGGTACATGCGCGGAATCATGTCGCTGATTCCTGCGCGGTGGCAGCATAATGCAGCTGCACTACATCTTATCCGGGTGCGATGCGCTCCCATACCTGTAGTCCGCAAAGTGGGCGTCAAGGAACCTCTTAAATTCCGACAAAGATTTCGCCTCGACTAGAGTCTCAAAAATTTCATTCATCATCATCATCATCAACAGCAGTACATCAGCCATTTGAACTGATGCTTCGCTGCCATACAACCATGAGGACCTATGAAATAAAGAATAAGAAGAGGGAGAGAAGGGGGACTTACCCGAAAACCTTAATGCCCTAAGCAAGCATTCAGGGTCAAGGCGCCTACACCTTGTGTTAACAACATACCGTCACAAACAGCTGGCTATCGTGCAAAGATAAGGCGGCATCGGCGAGACAGCTTCCTTGCGGCTTTCACTGCCACGCGTCATAATCAGCCATTACCCCGCAGATAACTCAGCACCAAACACACTTTAAACAGACAATCCGATTAGCAGACGGCAGCAGACGCGCCACTGGTGTCGGTTGCGAGCCATGTCCTGTAAAGTCTCGAGCCAAGCACAAGGTGAGTCACGTGGACTCCAACCCGGAAGGCGAGAAGGACCAACGGCACCCAGTTTGGTCGTCAGTGACTTCATTTCCCGCTGCCAAGTCAACTTCTGTCCACCTCGAGCCTTGCGCCATCCGACACCTGGCAGACTGAACAAGGCCCTCCTAGGTAAGCGGTGAACAGGCATGCGTAGCACGTGCCCAAGCCAACGCAACTTATTCAGTGCTATCTGTTGTTCTAGGGAGCTAGCATGATCATCACCACCTAGTACTCGCCTACGCACATCATCGTTGCGGACACGCTGGTGCCATCCGACACCAGCAATGCTTCGCAAACAACGATGATCAAAGACTTGAAGGCGCCTCAGATCTTCAGACCGAAGGGGCCAAGTCTCACTACCATACAGCAGAACGGCCCTCACTGTGGCCTTGTATACACGGCCTTTCAGAGGGAGGGAAACTCCCTTCTGTCGCCAAAGATGACGCAGGTTCAAGAAGGCAGCTCTAGCCTTTGCAATGCGTGAGCTCACGTCAGTTTCTATGCGCCCATCATTGCTGATGCAGCTGCCAAGATAAGTGAAATGATCAACCACCTCGATTTCCTCGTTAGCAAGCGTCAAGGGGTCATCGAGTGGCTGGTGGTCCTGCAGCAACACTTTGCACTTTGAAGGTGCGAAGTGCATACCAAATAATGGGACCACTCTGGATAGGCTATTCAGGGTTGATTGTGCCGCCTCAACATTGTCGAAAAGCAAGACGATATCATCCGCATAATCTAGATCCACTAACCGTTCACCAGGCAGCACTTCAACACCTACA